AAGGATGGTAGTGCACTCTCGGGTTAGCCCGCGGGGGCTGGAAGCTCCAGTCCAGCAGATGCCCACCCTGTGGCACCTCCAAGGTGGCACCGAGCATATAAGCAGCCACTGTGGAGGGGGATGGCCACGTCGATGAGCATGAGGCCGTGTTGTCGGTTCCCTGCTACACATGCTGATGGCCTGCAGGGATGACACAGGACCTCCCCGAGCCTTGGTGGAGGAGCTCAGAGGTGCCTCGTGGGCCAGTGGACCGGCTGAGGCGTGACGTCTGGTGAAAGGGCTGCAGGCGCTTCCCATCCAGACTCACAAACTGGACCGCAGACTCCGGGGGTGGTGCCAGCATCCCAGGCCGCTGCCTCCCACCCCCAAAATTAATAGTGGGGAAACTACAGCAGAGAAAATAATCACAGATCTGAGAGTCCAGAGAGAAATCCCAGAAGGCTCCTGACAACTTAAAACCCGTATGTGTGCAGAGGGGGTGGGTGGGTACGTGAATGGGAACAGTAGAGACAAAAGCCCCAGTGGGAGATGAGTTGCTCTGAATTTGCGGTCTTGCACTACCTACGCACACATACACACACCCCTACCTTGAGATGACCACTGTCTACCTAGAACAAGCAGCGTCACATCCCAAGCCTCTAGGATTCCAAGAATATTATTAAAGAAAACCTAAAACCCTGGTGGGACAAGAGCTGAGGAAACCAGAAGTGGACATCCAGCTGTCCCTGGGTAACCACTTGACCATCCTACCTCCCCCACTGCACCCCCCAACCCTCAAGGCTGCTGGATCTACTGAGGGCGTGGCCACCTCCCTAGTCTGCGTCTAAATAGGCTCCTAAATTGGGACTGGGATGGCAGCTTGCTGGGACATATTAAGAGGGTTTCTAGGGAACCAGGGGTTCTCTGCCTTGGAGCTCATCCCCTCTCCTCTTACTGAAATTCACCAGGAAGTGGCACACTAGGACTTTGGACCCTCCTGCACTACACGTTACCATGGAGAATCACTGACAGCCCCAAGGAACATACTTTCACAGGCCGAAATAATTTGACCTCAAGGAAATAACATCATTTTAAAAGAAAGATAACAAACTGAATGGTGTTAGTCCAGGACACAGATAATTGGGACAGCCGCACCAAGATTTTAAGTAAGCAGAATAAATATTCTTAGCAAAACAGATGATATTAAATATGAAACAGGCAAAAATCAGTCATAAAAAGGAACAAATAAAAATGCTGTACACGAATAATATTTGAAACAAATAGAAGGGATACCCCTGGAGACAGAATGTATAAGCGGGAAGATTGTGCTGAGGAATTCTTCTGGAAGACAGCAGCAACAGATAAAAAGATAGGAAATATTAAAGAAAAGCTAAGACAAGTGAGTGAGTAAATAGAGGCACTAATATCCAAACCATGGAATTCCCAGATGAGGAGGAAAAAATATGGAGGGGAGGAAATATTTGAAGCAATAAAAAATAAAAGACAAAGGATTTCAGACTTACAAAGTACCATATAGAATAAAGAAAAACTCACACCTAGATATATTCTAGTGAAACTGAGAACATCAAAGATACAGGGGAAAAAAAATTCTAAAAGTTTCCAGAAAGAAAAAAAATAGTCATCTATAAAAGTAAAGACTCATAATTTATCAGATGTCTGAACAGTACAGTACGTGGAGTATAGGAAAACACAGAGAAATATTTTCAAAGTATTAAAGGGAAAAGAATGTTGAATCTAGATCCAGCCGAATTGTCATTTATATGCAAGCCATGTAAATATGCAAGAAGATATTTTCAGGCACATATGGCCTCAGAAGGTTTGCCACACAAAATCCCATTATGAAAACACTCTTGGAAGAGTACTCAATAAAAAGAGAAATGAATTCAGGAAAATACGGCGAGAGAATACTATGGAAGAATGACCCAATTGCTTGGTAAAGTTTATTGTTGTCTGGAAAAGCAAGAACCAAACAAAAGCAAAATAAAAAGCATATCTGTAACCTCCAAAACTAAAATTGTAGACATTATCAAGGCAAATAAACAGAAGTATAGGTCTTAAATTAAAGGCAACCACCATAATATTATAATAAAACTAGAAGATAAAACTTTTAAATAAGCATAGGATAATTTGATCTTTCCAGTAGAAAACATAAAAGAAGAAAAAAGAAAATAATAGAGTAAAAAGAAAATATAAAATAATACAGCAGAAATAACTGCTCACTTAATAGAATTACAAAACACTTACAGAGATTTAGCTTACCAATTAAACAGAAGTTCCCTCCAAAAATTAAAACAGTGTGGTACCACTGCACAGACTAATAAAGTACAAGATACAGAAATAGACCTAAGTGCATACGGAAATTTATTATATGAAAAAAAGTAGGACCTCAAATCACTGGAGAAAAGATGTGTTTTTAAAGTAAATAATGCTAAGACAAGTGAATAACCAACTGGAAAAGGATAAAGTTGGAACTATACCTCACAGCCTGCCCAAGGATAAACTGCAAATGGATGAGAGACATATGATGCAAAAAAGAAACCATGCAAGTATTAAAGGGAAACAGGTGAATTATCTTATAATCTGGGATTTGGAAAAACTCTTTCTTATTATGATTCACAATCTAGAAGCAATAAAAGAAAATATTGCTTAATACAATGACATTAAAAAAAAACTTTTGCATGACTAAAATCACCATAAACAAACTCAAAAAACACATAATATAGTGGGAAAATATTTGCAATGCATGTCACAGATAAAGGGCTAATATTCCCAAAATGTAAACAACCCCTAAAAATCAAGGGAACAAATAAAAATATATACAAATGGTCCTTAAATATATAAAAATACCATCAGAATAAGGGAAATGACAATTAAAACCATGTTAATACCACTTGCTACTGCAAGATTGGTGAAACTTTGAAAGCTTCACAAAGCATTCTGTTGACAAGGATATGAGGAAATAGACACTCAAATTCAGTGCTGGGAGAATGCAAAATGGAACAACCTCACAAAAAAGCATTTGGCAATATCTAATACCATATCTGAAATTTGGCAATATCTAACACAACCATGTATGGATTTAACTTTTCATCCAGTAATCCTACGTGTATTAATTTACTTTGAAGATCCATCTCCTAAAACACAAAACAAAATATGCACAAGGTCATTCACTGTCCAGGTTTAGCATCCCTTATGCAGAATTGGTGGGACTAGAAGCATTTCAAATTTTGGATTTTGTTGGATTTTGGAATGTTTGCGTATATATAATGAGATGTCTTGAGTATAGGACCCAAGTGTAAACACAAAATCCATTTACGTTTCAAATACACCTTATACACATAGCTTGAAGGTAATTTTATACAATATTCTTAATAATTTTGTGCATGAAACAAAGTTTTGACTGCATTTTGATTGCAATCCATTATATGTGGTCAGATGTGGAATTTTCCACAGCACTCACAAAGTTTCAAATTTGGGGGCATTTTGAATTTTGGATTTTTGAATTAAGATGGTCAACCTGTAGTATTATTTATAACAACAAAATATTGGGAAAAATCTATTATATATATATACATAATAGATTAATAGAATAAGGCATTGCATATCCACACAATGGCATGATACGGAGCTATAAAAAAGGAATAGCTCTGTAAATTGATGTGAAGTGATTTCCAGGGTATTTTTAAGTCAAAATCATAGATAGTACATTGTATTTTTGTAAGAAAGAAGGTAAAATAAGAATCCATGCCCATTTTTGCAAAAGAAACATAGAAAAGACAAATCAGAAGCCAGTGAAATTGGTTCCTTGCACAGAGTGAGTTCAAACACTAAGAAAATGCTAAAAAAAAAAAAAAAAAAAAGGGGAAAGAAATTCCTCTCAATGTGCCTTTCATGTAGTTTTGATTTTTGACCCATGTGAATATTTTATTATATAAAAAATAAAATTAAATAATCAAGCATGGGGGAAAGACCCTAACATTGAGTATAAACAGATAGAAATGAACCTATCTATATAGCAAATTGATAAGGTATCTATTCAGAAGGGGAAAATCAATATAAGTAACTTGTGAACATAGTATTTGGACTGCACATCTTCAGTGGGAAATATTCCAAATAAAATAAGAATGGAAAAGAAATTTTTAACTTAATCTAACAGTTTTGTCTTTGTAATGGTATGAGTATAGAAATTTCATAACTATTTTGTATGTATTATAGCAATAAGAAAATGAGTATATAAAGATAGATAGATAGATAGATAGATAGATAGATAGATAGATAGATAGATAGATAGATAGATAGATGCTGTTGAGAACCATTGTGGAAGAATGAGATACAAATAAGGAAATAGAAAATGAGAGGGAAAATCTTGTAGTATTAGACTGGAATTAAAGTATGTAATAAAGTAGTATGTACTCATGACTTTTTTTAATAATTCATTTTTCTCCAACCTTATTGAGATATAACTGAAGTAGACTCAACTATCCATATTTAAAGTGTGAAATTTGTTCAGTTTTGACAATTGTACATACAAACAAAACTATCACCCAAAATAAAGATAATAAATATTTCTGTCACTTCCAAAAATTTCTTATGTTCTTCAACATCCATTCCCCCCTCGACCCCGCATCTCTAATCAACCACTGATATTCTTTTTGTCATAAATTAGTGTGCATTTTCCAGAATTTTATATAAATGGAATTATATAGTATATGCTATTTTTTTGCCTGGCTTTTATTCAGTACAGAAATTTTAGATTCATCCAGGTTATATATAAAGTTTATTTCCTTTTATTGTTTTCATTCCCAGGATTGGAATGGCTCTGTTATTATGTCCATTTAAGTTTACAATTGTTATATCTTCCTGATGAATTGTCCCTTTTATTATTATGAAACGGCCTTCTTTATCTCTAGCAATGCTCTTTGTCTTGAAGCCTGTTTTATCTGACTTTAAAATAGCCACTCGAGCCTTCTTATGCTTATTATTTGCATGGTATATATTTATTTTAAACCTATTTGTATCTTTGTAAAGTGTGTTGCTTGAAGGCAGCATATAGTAAGGCCTTGCCTTTTATCCACTCCACCAGTCCCTGCCTTTTGATTGAAATGTTTAGACCATCTGCATTTAATGTACTTATTTACATTGTCAGATTTGATTCTATCACTTTACTAGTTGATTTCTATTTGTCTCCTCTATTTTTGTTCTTCTTTGCCCCCTTTTCAACCTTCTTGTGGATTATACAAATATTTTTTAGTACGCTGCATAAATTTATCATTGACATTTTGGCTAAATCTCTTTGTATTATTTCTTTTAGTGGTTGCTCTAGAGATTACAATATATATATATATATATATATGTTTTTTTGCATCCAAGTAAAACATAGAAACTTTACAACTATATAAATTCCTTTGCTATTCCTTTCAACTGACCTTTATGTTATAATTGTCATTTGTATTATATTTTCATACACTAAAAACCCTACCAGATAATGTTATAAATTTTCTTTCAATGGTCATATGTGCTTTTAAAAATGTCTTGAAAAGTCTCTCATATTTACCCGGATATTTCCATTTCTGTTGCTCTTTCTTCATTCCTGAAAACTCAGTTTTCTTTTATTGTCACTTTCCTCCAGCCTCTGATGCATTTCCTTCATCGTTTACGACAGAAAAGATATTCTGATGACAAATTCTCTTAGTTTTCCTCCATCTGATAAGAGCTTTATTTTGACTTCACACCTGAAGGGTATCTTTGCTGGCCATGGAATTCTGCGTTGACAGTTCTTTCTTTCAGCACTGTAGAGATGTCAGTCCACTGTCTTCTGACCTTCGTGGGTCCAGAAGAAGTCTGCAGGCATTAGAACTTGTGTCCCCCTGCGTGTGATGTGCAGTTTTTCCTCCAGCTGCTTTCAAGAGTCTTGCTTTGATTTTTTCACCATTTTGATTATGAGTCTAGGTATGGTTTTCCTTGAGTTTATCCTGTTTGGGGTTCACCGAGCTCCTTGAATCTTGAACCTACAAACATGGAATGAAATAAATGCAATACTATATTAATAGAAACATGGAACAGATACAGTGTGGCCCAGAAGAAGAGTAGTCAGTTCCAGCGAGCCAAGGACACCAGAATGTATGGGACACAGAGATTGGAACGAGACAGTGCAAGCACAGAAGATGCTGTGAGACCAACTATGAGATGCGACAAATGCAAAAAAACAGTTCTTCATTCTCCAGGTCTTTTTCTTGTCACTTTTTTTTTTTTTAACTAGCTGGCTTTGTTTTGAAAAGTTCTTAATGACATCTTCAGGAGAAGCACATTTTCTCACTCTGACTTGTCTTTTTTAAGGGCAAAAATAGCACTTCCCACTGTCTCCGTGTCTTTGGAGGATGTCTACCACAGGGCTTTGCAAATGTAAAAAAAACAAAATTAAAATAAAACTGTGCTCTTTGGACAGCCGTGGGAGGTTCATCCTGGTTTGTGGCTCTATAGAGACGAAGTGATAGAACAAAGAAACTCAGCTCTCCCTGTTAACAGTGCCTTTGGTAAAAAGAGCACGAAAGCTGCCTCTTTAGACAGTAACAAGTTAATTGTTTGAAGAAGTCTGAGATTCTCAAACTAGCATAAGTAAAAATTTTCATTTTGTTACCCAAGCTTACGCCTGTTAAAATTAACCCTCCAAACCTAAGATGTTCATCCAGTATTAATTACCACATTTTAAGGGGCTAAAATTGAGTGCTTTGTTGGTTTCTCTGGTTAATTTACATATCATTACTTCACAATTCATGTTGTAATAAATTTTATTAAAATTAGTAAATGAAAATGGAATATTACCTCCAAGCTTGCAGGAACCTAGAATCACAGACACTAACCCTTTTTTCTCCTTTAAAATTACAATTGTCAATTTAAATATATATATAGATATATATGTGTGTGTGTGTGTGTATGTATGTATGTATTGTATATAGAACTTAATCATTTATTCTATAAATAAAAGCATGAAACCAAAACGAGTTAGTATTTACAGTTTCATTGGGATTGTATCAAACCCGCATTCGATGCTTTATAATATACAAGGAGAGAGGGAAAAAAAAAAAAAAAACAGAAAGAAGTTCTGAGGACCCCTAGTTGGCGCCATCCTCAAACTTCAGCCAGGAGTAGCATGTGTCATTAGCACAAAGAGCTTTGAGTCCCAAGGCAAAGACTGAAACATGTGTTGGGAGCCCTTCTGCATCCACCAATTCCCAGCAGACAGGAGTGGCCCTGGGTGACCACAGTTCAGCCCATGGCGTTCCGTCCCACCATCCACCTCTTTGAAGCAGCCTGGCTAAGCTAGCCTGCAGTCTGGGGGAAGGTGGGAAGTGTTTTGCAAAGCACAGTCTACCTATGAGAGGTTCTGGCTATTTATTCAGACAACGGGCATGCACTGCACTTCCACACAAAGTTGGGGGTGCACCCCACCTGTCGGGAGGCCAGCACCCCCACTCTGCTCTGGGAGAAGCAGTGCAGCAGAAGCCAAGAGAACAGAGATTCCCAGACCCCAAGGGATGCCCACCCCTCCCGGAGGCAGGAATCATGACCTCTTGCCATAGGCTCCTCTAGTTCTCCTTTTTTCCCTCTCTCTCGTCATCTCTTTCTCATGGTCTCCTCTACCTGGCTCCCTCCTCTTTTCTCTCACTGGGGTCCCACTGGCCAAAAAGGTCCTTCAGGACAGATGGGGATCTGCCAGGACCTCCCCTGGGCCCTCTCTCCCACTCCTGATAAATCCATCCACCTGCCACACTCCTTCCTGAAGCCACCCCATGCACAGTGACACAGGGAGACCGCCCTAAAATTTCCAAATGAGGTGGGGGGGGCGGGGCGGTGTTGTGGGTCCCTGTCAGTGTCATTTCTGCGTTGGGAGGGGGACGGTTGGTTCTGGAGCAGAGTCTTCCCAGAAACCCTCACACCACCTCGCCCCTCCTCGGAGAGGGACTGGCCCCGTGGGGCATTTGCTGACAGCTCTGACAGGCCTCAAGGAGACAATTAATGCCTCCCAGCTGCCTCAAACAGGGAAGGTGCTAGAAGAGGGGGAAAGGGGGAGAGAAGCGTGTAAATTGGCAAAAAGTTGTAAAGCAACAGTAGAGAGCAGGGAGGGAAGTGAATCAGAATCTTGTTGAACAAATTTCTCTCGGAATCTGCTTAAGGGCCAGTGGGAACCTAAGGCAGACCCATGCAATCACTGCAGAGCTAGGTTTGTGGACTTCTCAGTAGTTGACGGAGCTTCTGGAAAGAAGGCGAACTCGGGAAAGTGGCAGAGTCTCTGCCCCTGGCCTAAAATCCCGAAATGGGGGACCTTGAACTCTGCCAGCTCAAGGACGGGAATGCGGGGGGAGGGGGGTGCTGTCTAAGGCTGCAGGTGCCCTGTTTCCAGAATGCGGGAGGGGGAGGGCAGCCCCTGGGAAAGTTGTTTCTGACAACAAGGCAGACAGACAGACAGACAGACTGGGAGATGGACGGGTCTCCTTCCTTCCCAGACAGCCCCTGACTGTCTGGGCGGACAGATGGTCCTTTCCTCCGGGCTTTATAGATTAATGCATCCTTCTTATCAATTATGGAGACAAGAAAGTGTAATTTTCTCCCCATGTTTATACTGTTCAGGATTAATCTGCCTGTAAATGGATAATCTGTCAGCTTTCGGAGACACTGAAGTGGGGAGGGGGTGGGGCAGGAAACGGGGAAGAGATTTACCAGCGGGTAATGCCATCTGCTTTATTAGGTTGTTTTATAAACCTGACATTCAATTTGTTCTGGAGGACTTGGTGACGGATTATTCTGTAAATTCCCAAATAATTACGATAACCAGAGAAAGGGGAAAAAAAAAAAGGGAGAGGGAGGTGGGTTTGGAGGCGTGGGGGTGTGCAGCACATTCGTGACTAATGTCGCCCCTGAGGGTGGCCAAGAGCGGCTGGACCTTAGAGGCGGGGGATGACAAAAAGGGCCAGATAGCCCCTCAACTCTGGGTCTCATACAATGTCCCCCGGTTTTCAAACCTTCAGATTCCCTGCTCTTCTTCCCAAGATGGTGAATTCAATCTTGTAGGGATTGTGTTATCATGTTTCCAGACTTAGATACATATATCATATTCTCCGATCACCTGGGTCCGAATCCTGCTCCTCTCCTTATCAGCATATGAACTTGGGCAAGTTATTTAAACTCTGTGCCTCGGTTTCTTCCACTGAGGACAACAATAGTACTTACTTCCTATGGTTGCTGTGCGGATCAACTTAGTTCCTATATGGAAAGCACTAGATAAACTATGTGCTCTACTATCACTGTTTATTTGTACGTTTATTCCACAGTGCTGGGCCCAGTACTAATGAGATAGAGACAGCACCCTCTCACTAGGTTTCTGACGGTTGAGTCTGAAAACTCCTAATGGTAGAATCAGAATCTCGGAGCTTTTAAGCCCCTTGGCAATCACAGGACTCACCCTGCCCTTCCGTCCCTGGCTTGACTGCTGCCAGTGACAAGGGGTCCCCTCTAGCACGGGGGGCTCACTCCATCATTGGGCTTTTCCCCACGACTCCTCAGACAGTCCCCATAAAGCCAAACCTGCCATCCCCTAGTGGAGCCCTCCCAAAGGGTTAAAGCTTCAGCCTCCTGGGTTTGCGAAGGGAGCCAGGGCACCCCCGAGTAACGCATAGCCTTGATCATGAGCTCTGAGAGCTCGTTTTTCAGCAGAAGGTTATTCAATTACCCCGTGCACGTTTATCTTTTAAATTTCCGAATGCTGCCTCCTGTGTTTTCTGTAATCTTATTTGTGCTTTTGTTGGGGCGGGGGTGGCTGGGGGAAAGAAAGCCACACAGTGTGTGTCCCAAACCCACCCGCCTGACGCCTGTCCTTGTGTCCTTGGGGACCACGCTCTAAGTAAGGTACAGGCATGTGGCCACGCCATCCCCGTGGGGAGAAGGGAGGAGTAGGGACGAGACTCCTCACTGCTTGCTCTTCCTGGTGATCTCGGTGTCTTTGTGTTTGCAAGGGCAGCTCTCTGTCACCTCAGTCGGTGACTAAGATAATGAGGCTCAGGGAATGGAGTCACTTGATCTGGGTCTTCCCACAAAGAAAACGTCTGTGCAGGGGGCTACAGTTGAATAGAACACCCCCTCACGTCTCGGCGTGTTTTCTTGACCACCGGCCCCTTGCTATTCGTTGTGTAAATACTACATATTATTCCTCTTTCAGATGAAGAAACTGATGCATGATTAGGATAAGTAATTTGCTCCAGATAGTCATATACAGAGTTAGGGTCTAGACTATGCAGTAGGGTGCTATTGTGTTGCCTGTCCAGGCCTGATCTTCCCACTTCTAGTACAAGAACCCTCTGTCCTGTGGGGAATACGTTCCCAGTGGTTTGCATGGAACCGTCACTGCCCCTCTTCTGGCATGTGCCCAAACCTGGTCTGGCCAGTCAGAATCCCCAATGCCCTTGACCACAGTCATTGGATCAGGGGATGGTCACGTGACCCAAACCCAGCCAATCAGATCTTTCTGTAGGACTTTTCTGCCAAAGCTATTGGGGGGAAAACTTTATTCTTCCTGGGGTTGTTCATCTAGTAGGATATGAGCCTTAGGCGTGTGTACCCAGAGTCAGCCTGAGTCCTGACCCTTTTGTCTTTGTTCCTGAATAAGCCAATCTCTGCCTTCATGTTCACATGGCCATCTTCCCTTTGCGTCTCTGTGTCTAAATTTTCTTCTTCTTTTGAGGATACCAGTCGCATTGAATTAGGGTTTACCCCCCTACTCCAGTGAGACTTCATCTTAACCTGTTTATATCTGCAAAGACCCTATTTCCAACTAAGTCACAGTTACATGTACCAGGGGATAAGCACTTGAGCATATCTTTTGGGGGGGGGGGGACAGAGTTTAACCCATAACACTGGGTCTCTACCCGATCCTGAAATGTATCTGTGGGGATGTCCAGTTGTACCCGTGTGCAGGTGTGCCATCCACAGACCTGAGTGGCGCCCTTGAGGAGCCGAGTGTTTGTGTATGTGTGCGTGTGCGTGTGCACCCACATGCTCTGCCCGTGTGGGCCTGTGCATTGCGTCTATGGCGAACACGGAAGTTTTTAAAATAATAGTCTGATTTTCTCCCCCCTCTGTTCTCAGACTCCTCACTGGCCTGCAGACTGCTGTGCTCACACACAAAAGGAAGGGCTTTCAATGACTTTCCACTAGTGATGGGAGTTATTTCCTGGCGCACTTCTTCCTCTAATTATACACTTGCCTCCCCCACTGGCTTATTCAGGAGCAAAGACAAAAGGATCAGGACTCAGGCTGACTCCGGGTATACAGGCATACACACACACACACACACACACACACACAAACACACACAAATTTTACAAGCAGCAGTCAGGGTGTGATTCTTAGAACATGTCAAGGACCCTAGGGTTCTCCTGAACATCTTCAAAGCTCCCCAGAGCACCACACCATCATGGTCTTCTACTCTAGAACTGTCTATACATTTAAACGCGCAAACCTTAACATCTTGAAATATTCCTTGCAGAGTTAAAAAAAAAAAATCCCAGTAATAATTCAACTCCCCCTACAAAATTACTCTAAGGCTGCTGCTGGTTTCTCCACTGGCAAGTGGGAGCAGGTGGGAGGAGGAAATAAATATAGTCTTCCTGCCTGCCTTCCTTCTGATACCCCAAGAGATGGGAGATTGCAGAGTTTGAGGATGGACGCAGAGCAGCCATGGCAATTCTGCCTGGCCTAGAAGTAAGTGGACGGGGACCCTAAAGGCAACAGATCCTCTCTGCCTCTTTTCAGAGAAATACAGTTTATCAAAGTGGGCAGAACGCCTGAGACCATATTTCAACCTCATTTTACAGATGGGGAGACTGAGGCCCAGGATTAATTCAGTGTTGCCTACTCTTACAGATCCAGTACCTCCTGCCTCCTGGTACAGTGATTCTTTTCCCCATCACCTCCTGCCTCACCTGCCTCATCTTTTTAGGCTTTAGGGGCAAGAGTGGTGGAGAGAAAAGAGAGGGAAGAGTCCCCCATCTCCAGGGAAGAATGACGGGAAAGAGCCAGAGGAGAGCATCTTCTAGGGTCCTGAAATCCTCTCTCCGGCTGAAGCTTCCCCCACCGTCCAGACTTCCCTCCCAAAAAGTTCCCTGACATCTGGTGGCTGCCCCAACCCCTCTGCTGATCTTTTTAACCAGAGACACTGTGATTGCTCACACGCTTTGATCCTGCAGGAGCGGGCAGCTTTTTTGTTCTATTATTCACCGCAGGGCGAGTGCTGAGTTGTCTCTCCTTATTACAGGCCACGGCTAGGCTGCCCACTGCCTCCCCAAGGCCACTGGATGGTGGCCATCAATAAGTCAGTAGCAGCGGCTGGATCTGAGACACCTTTGGGGAAAGGGATTTGTACCAGTTCAGCATCAGCGTTTTCTACAAGCTTCCCTTTCGGAAGAGATTGGGAGAGGAAAACAATGAGCATAAAAATTATAGAAACACATGCACAGATGCTAAGAGGTATGTCTCACCTGCCCAGGTGAGTGGCATGCATCTGAAGGCAGAGCCTGCTCTTATCTATGTGCGTCCCCCGTGGCACCTAGCACAGGGCTCAACCTCCACTAATATTTATTTAATGAGCAAACACGTGAGCGAACATCTCCTCCCAAGCCTCATTCCCTTCAAAAATAGAGGAAAAGTAGCACAGAGCATCACTTCTAACTACAGGATATTATGGGGTAAATTTGTTTGTGTGTGCACCCACCATCTCCCACATACTCACTAGAGCAGCTGTCCCCAACCTTTTTGGCACCAGGAACCGGTTTCATGGAAGACAATTTTTGCATGGATGGGTCAGGGGGGTGATGGTGGTGGGGGTTGGTGGGAATAGAGCTCAGGTGGTGATGTGAGCTGTAAATACAGAAGAAGCTCCCCTTGCTCGCCCACTCGCTGTGCGGTGGCCTGGGAGTAGGGGACCACAGCACTGGCAGATACAAGCTCTATACAGGCACTTTGTTTTGCTCGCAGCTGTATCCCCAGCGCCTAGGACAATGCCTGGCACATAGTGGGTCCTCAAGAAATGTGTGCAATAAATGAATGAACTGGGTGTCAGGAGACCTGGGAACTAATTCCAGCTCAGTCACAAACTTCCCTTCTCTGGATCTCAATTTGCTCCCTTGTGTGACAAGGGTATTGTGCCTGATCGCCAAGGAGGCCACCTAATTTAGACATTTCTTGAAGAACGTGGGACATCATGTCAGCATACTGAGTCCATGCTGTGTCCCTGACCTCTTCTTCCTCCATGGCCATGAGGGGCTCTGATAACCTATACAGATGCAGACGTGATGGGGTTAGACAGTAAAACCCCAGGGGCCTGCAGCCAGGGGAACATGTGGAGCCTGCAGAAAGGAACATCCTTGAATGGAATGCATGACCCTGGCAAAGGCCGGGAGAGCTTTGTCAGTCCTATCTTTGTTTCTGCAGTTGCTTTCCTCCCACCAAAAATCCAGGCACGCAAGCCCTCTCTGGTGGCACCGGGTGACGTCCAACAATGGGACGGAGTCCCACGAGGAGAGGGCGTGAAAAAAGAGGGAACTTTCTAAAGAGGCTGTTTCCTAGCAGACAGCCCCAGAAAATACAGGTGGGATTATGGACCGGGTCAACACGCAATGGAGCAAGCCCAGTCTTTTAAATCGGGGACTAGAGGAAACACATTCCAAAGTGACTGCTTGAGATGAGAACAGGGTGGGACCCAAAAAGTTCAAGGATAACTCAGAATCAGGAGATACGGGAAGACGCGGCCACGCCCAGCTAGCGAAGACGAATTTAAAGAGAACTGCGTGGGCGTGGCTCTCTAAGAGGAAGAGGACACATTATTCTCTTTCCCTGGTGTAGGTTCGCTTCTCAGTAGACCTTCCCTTGTCGGGGTTGCCCTTCAGACCCCGTGATGACTGGGTGGGCCCTGGGCGGCCCCTCCACCCTCACCCCACCTTGCAGAAAGCTGGCCTCTCTGGAACTGTGACTCACCCGGGCATGTTACGTCCTCGTGGGGGGAGGGGGGTGCAGAAGGGGTGGCACCCCCTGTGCACGGCCCCCCACCCCGGGGGTGGAATGTGTGAGCTAGCTCCCATTTCACAGTCCTGACGCCTGCCCCGCCGCCGCCCCCGTCTCCCCGCGAGCAGCAGCGCCCTGTGGCCCGCGGAGCCTGGCTCAAGGTCAGGGCGCAGCCAAGGCCGCCGGAGGGGGCGGGCTGCGGCTCCCAGCACTGCCCTCACCTGGCATCTGCTTCATAGGCTGCTGACTCCCAAACAATACAGTACACGCCGATTTGCAGGGTCCCTTCCGTCTGGTTTCCCAGTAATCCACTCCCACCAAACAAACACGCAGGGCTCCCCTGGCCCGGCGCGGATCTGGAAAAACACAGCGCTTGGCTGGCCTCCCCGGGTTGCTTTTACCCGCCCCTCCCCCTCCCTCCCTCCTCCCGTCCCTCCTCCCTCGTCCCTCCTCCCTCGTCCCCAGCTAGCGCCGGCCGGGGCCGCGGTGGAAGCGGCCCTGCAGTGGCGCCCAGCGTCCATGAGAGGGCAGCCGCGGGCCGCAGAACGCCGACAGCGCCCGCCTTCCCCGCCAGGCCCGGCCCGCGCCTGCGCAGACCAGAGGCCGCCCTGGCCCCGCGCCGGGCCCGCGCTTCCGGCTGCCGGGCTGTGCGGCCGGCTGCTGTCTCTGGACTGTGGCAGTGCGGTCCCTGGAGGGAACAATGGGCGGATTTCAGGCGTCCGGGCCGGACAGCCTTCCACGGAGGCCCCAGAGACGCGATAACAGGCAGTGAGACGCGGCTGTGGCTGCAGAGCTCAGGAAGCGTTCCCCGACCAGGGACCGCAGCAGCGCCGCGCCGCGCCCCATCCCCCATCCCGCGGCCTCTGCATCTCCGCAGCCTGAAAGCGCCTCCTCGGCCCGCCTTGCGTCCATCCTGCTACAGTTCGACAGCAAGGTCGCCTCCGGCTTTGACTTGCAGACATCCCTCTGACCCTGAGGTCCGGGGTGTGGGGAAGGGCCCAGGCCCAGTTTGCAGAGCGCCCCCGCGACGGGGCTGTGGACTGCATCCTCGTAGTGCACAAGGAGTGTCAGGCTCGGAGCCGGAAACACCTGCAGGACTCAGCCAGGCACAGGTGTGAAAACCGGAAGTCCGTTGTCCAAGGCCGTGGAGTTTGCCAGTGAAGAGCAAATGAGGCCACATCTCGGCCCCTGCTTGGGACCCTGTGATGGCTCTCCTTAGCTCTTGGAGAACGTCAACATTGCAGATGGCCTTAAGGCCCTCCAGCATCACCTGGCCCTGCTTACTGTCCAAAATACCCCACTCTCCATTCCGTCTCTTCTCCATCTCCTGGCTGTGCGCATCGGGGTCCGTGATCCCAGCCTTCCGAAGCCCCAATCTCTGCCCAGCCAACTCCTGCTTGTCTTTTAGGTCTTGGCTAAGAAATCATTTCCCCTAGAAAGCTTTCTAGGACTTGCCTGCACCCCTCCCACGGAACCCTATCCAGCTCTATTCCAGGGTGGCCCACAAAGAACCTCCTCTGCTTGTTCCCTTCCCTGGTCCCCCTCGGCCCACACTAGGTCCTAATTGACATTACGTCCCCAGCATCTAAACAAGCCCACGATAGGCTCTCCATCAATTATGTAACGAATGGATCAGAGCTACCCAATTTCTAGGCCCATGTACTTTTCACCATGTTGCCCCATGAACCTTTCACTCTTGTAGCTAAAATGAACAGATTTGTGGCACAGAAGAGCCTATGCTATGTGACAGGGGTGGAGAAACCACGTGGCAGAATGGAAGCCCGTTCTTTCCCAATTGTTGGGAGGGTATTATGTTTCTTGCTTCTGCAACCTGGAGAATACTTTCCAAAATGATAGTCTCCCTACTTCTGTAGTCCAGAGGGTACTTTCTAACTTGTAGCTCTCATTATTCACTCAGAGGTAACTTCAAAAACAGAGGTTTTAAACCATGTACTGGGATTTACAGAGGTTGAGGGGCCCCCTACAACCAGAGCAGCACCAATTTTATTTTTCATTTAGGTATTTCTTTTGAAAAAAGAAAAGGAGCCAAGGATCCCATTAATGCTTTAAAAATCTTTTGAGTGGAGGAGAATGTGGGGATGGGGGTATATGGGAACTCTGTAATTTATGTTCAGTTTTGCCGTGAGCCTAAGCCTGCTCTTAAAAATACAGTTTATTGATTATTTTTTAAAGTGTTGAGATCCACAGCACCAAAGGATTGTCGAGTAGAGCAGCTGAAGAGCTGTGAACAATAGTTAACAGCTAATCATTTCCAAGGGCCGCAGCCTACATTCGCAGTGACACACGCACTGCAGCTTCCCAATCCGCAGAGCCTTTTCTCCTTCCCTTTTATGTAGAGTCTGTGCTTGTTGTTACCCATGTTTCTTCCAGGCTATCAAGGAGTATGATCTTTAATGGATGTAGTAAGGAACCAGAAGGTATTATAATATTTTCAGAATTTGTTATATTTGTAGAAAAAGTTACTGTGTTATTTTTCTTATTTGAAAAAGAAGGAGAGTTGAACATTTTGTATTTCTCTATTAAAAAAAAAATACTTGTTTTGTTTGAAGCCCTAGACCTTTTGTTATTATTATTATTATTATTTTTAATGTTCCTTTACCCACCAAAGTTGTCCAGGTCCCAGTCCCTGGAACCTGTGAATATGTTACCTTACAAGGCAAAGGGAACTTTACAGATGTGATTACATTAAGGATCTTGAGATTGGGAGATTTTTCTGGATTATCCATGCGGGCCCAATATAATCAAAAGAGCCCATATAAAAGGGAGGAGAGAGGATCAGAGTCTGAGAAGAAGATGTGTCAATGGAAGCAGAGGTCAGAATGATTCACTGTGAGAAAGATTTAGCTGGCCATTGATGGCTTTGAAGATAGAGAAGAGGCCACAGGCCAAGGAATGCAGGTGGCCTCTAAAAGCTGAAAAAGGCAAGGAAATCGATTCTCCTTTAGACCATCCAGAAGGAAGACTCTCCTGCTGACACCTTGATTTTATCTCAATGAGATACATTTTGGATTTTTTCCTCCAGAACTGTAAGATAATAAATTTGTGCTGTTTGAAGCCACTAAATTTGTGGTTATTTGTTATAGCAGCAATAGGGAACTAATACAAAAACACTCTGCTCCAAAGGAAAAAAAAAAAGTCCCTGCCATAGATCCACATGAGTGTCAAGAAGGAAACTCATCGAAGAAAGGAAACAAACTGGCTAGTGCTGTTGTGAAGAGAAGGAATTCTTGTAGAGGCTACCCAGATATGCATGGATATATGCTTTGCTATTCCAAAATCAGTATGAGTCAGCACCCCGGGCATATATCTGTATAGGACCTGCATGCACTGTCTTATATTTTAACTACTTGTATAGCCATTTTTATTTCCCCTGCTAGCTGGAAAGGTTCCAAGATGGCATTCATCTTTATATTCCTGTCGCCTCCAGTGTCCTGGATGAATAATACCACCTTCTATTTGTGAGGCACTTCACACTTCCCAAAGCACTTGTGTGGCCATTATCCATTTTGAGCCTTACCACAATTCTTGTGAGGTCAGGCAAGACTGGTGGCATTATTTAATAATAAATTTCATTTGACAAAAGACTAGCACCTAAATTTCTCTAACATCTAGGCCTTCCTCTCCCCAGTATTCCCCCCATTTTATCTGCAAAGTGAATTCTAGACATAGGTGAGAAAGTTGAGGCACTGCTGGCCTCCCAGGAGTCCAAGACTGGGCTCTGGAGGTGCAGAGTCACTGTGTGGACTTCCTTTGGTCTTCTTCACACTCTGAACGTGGAAGAAAATCTTTTTGCAGAAGTGGTGGTGGAGGGTAAGCCCATCCTGCTTCTCAGGGACATTGGGAAGAAACGAGAAGGGGTAGAAATGAGAAGAAGGAAGGGCAACCCTCTGGTTCCAGACGCAGGGAGGCAGGCAAGGCTGGCAGTCAAAAGTCCCCAGTCTGCACCCCTCTCTCTTGCACCCTGACCCTCCTAGGGGAGCTTGCTGTGGAGACAGGAGGAGTTGTCATGCTCAGCCTGGAATTCAGGACCTCACCTAGGGACAGGTCAGAAGAGAATGGTATCCACCACCGCTGTATGTTTTAAAGACTCTCGTTATGGCACCAGTGTTCTCACTTGCACGGAGAGTACTTTCTCTGGAGTTAGAGACAGGTTCAGGTCATAGGTCTCTACTTACCCGTGGTGTAACCCTGGCAAGTCACTTTCCCGGGGTGAGGTCCCACTTCTCTATCTGCAGAACGTGCATAATAGCACCTGGCCTGCAAAATCGTGGGGAAGATAAAAATAATATATGTAAAGTACATGGAAAATAATAAGCACTCCAGTGGTAGCTATAGTTATTTATAACCAAGAAAACAGAAAGGGGGAGTGGGTTTTTCCAGGTTAGGCAGCAGGTAAACGGTGGAACCAAGACTCCGAGAAACCTCAGCCCCAGAAACTTCAGTTCCTCATCCGAAAGGCTCTTCTGCTCCCCAGAAAACTTAAGTCTCCTACCTTCTGCAGCCAGGCGCGGGCCCTGCAAGGCAGATCTTCCCCCACCGACTCAAAGAGAGGGAGCAGCAGGGACTGCTTGTGCGCGCGGCCTCCACCCAGAACCCGCTGGAAGCCTGGCGCTGCACAGCTGCGCACATCTGGAACCCCGCCCCGCTGGAGTCCAGAGGGGCGCACCCGGGCCCACAGTCTCCGTTCAGGGAGAAGGGAGGGCGGTGGCCTTGTGCAGTGCGTCCCCAGTCCCCGACTCCCGCCCGGGCGCAGAGGGGCAAAGGTCTGCAGGCTCGGGGCTGCGGGGCGTGGCGGGGAGCGCGGGACCCGGGGTGCAGACCCGGCCGCAAGTCCCGAAGTGCAGGCCTCGCTTTGCAAGCGTGGACGGCGCTGCGAAGGCCTGGGCAGGAGGCGCTTGGTGCGGGCGGCGGCGGCGGCGGCGGCAGAGGGTCCCTGCGCGGCGACCTCGGCCTGCCCTGGCCCGCGGCCCGCACGGTTCAGCCCCGGCCGAGGCGGCCAAAGCCCGGCTGGCTAGCGCCAGGCGCTGGAGCCAAGGCTGACGCGGGGTTCTGAATAATGTTTGGAGGAGCCGGCGCTGGCCCTAGCACCCCGCGAAGACGCGCTGGAGCGGCGGCCCGCGGTCCAACTCCAGTCCCCGGGCCTGCGGGCCGCGCCCGCGCCGGAGGGTGCGAACCGCCGGCTCCTCCGGGCCGGCACCGCGGGCTTCCACGGCTCTTACGCGTGATGCGCGCCCCGCGGTAGACTGAGGACAGAAAGGAAAGGCAGTGTTACTCTTCACGAAGGACAGCCACACGCGCGGGCCCCAGGCCTGGGGGGCCCGGCGGAGGCGCCGAGCGTGGCTGTGCAGAGCCTTTGGAAAG